AAGCGACCAAGGGAATGGTCATAAAGCTGAAAACTTTAAAAAGAAGGCGGAGGGATATGCGCACGCACACCTTGTCGGTGCCGTAACCCAGCCCAGAAGCACCGTTCCGGGTTCCCTTGGCGATCCCAGCGCTGCCCAGATCTGTCAGATCACTGGCTGTCGCCCTTTAAGTTGTGCTGGTGTCCGCTGTGCTTCTTGGACTGAGGTTTGGGCTATCAGCTTGGGTATTTTCTGCCCAGAGCTTTCTTTGCACTGAACGTGATGTGACAGGAGTGCTCCTCCCCCTGTGCCACCCTGCGCTCCCCGTCCCCCGTGTCGCCCCCCCCCGCCCCTTTCCTTTCTCTGGTTCTGTGTGTTCCTGTATTTTTGGAGTCCGACTCTGAGGTGTAGGTTTGTATTTCTCACTCAGTTGTGTTATTTGGTTTGGGTTTGGGTTTGGGGTTTTTTTTGGTACAATTTTACCTGTGTGGCTAAAGAGGCATTTCCTGGAATAACAGTTTAGTAAATCGTTCATGAAATTGAATACAAAATAATTTGAAGGGTAACCAGTAATGCATCATATTCTTTTTAAACTTCTGATACTCAATTCCATAGTAAAACCAGATTTAAAAAAAACAGATAGACGTCCAGCAGGTTTTTTTATACAGTGGAAGATTTGCATAACTAAACATAAACTAAAAAAAGCTATGTTGAGAGTATAAGGAGAGAACGCTTATAGAAAATTAAATGTTTGCCTACATCTGTTGGCAAGAAAGTTAGTAGCAGCTCAGCTGTTCTAAGCAGAATATCTGTGTAGTGCAAGTGTTCTTTTAAATCTAGCACCACAGAATATTGTTTCTTTGTTAGGTTAGACTGGTTGTTCTCTCTGCTGGCTTCAGAGTTTCTGATGTTCTTGCTGAATCCAGCCACATAGGAAAATTCTGCTTTTTATTACAAAAATGTGCAGCTGAAAGGGGAAAAACTTGCATTGATTATTAACAATGTTATTACATAATAAAGTATGCAGAGATTATATATTCCATGTGGCATTTGCCACAGAAATCAAGTGTGTGAATGATGTATTTTCTTTCCCAACTAATTATTTTAAGAAATTACAGACTTTTCAGATTAGCATAAAGTAACAGAGGACTAGCTGCTGTTGATGGGGGATACATTGTAAATGAAAACAGGGTGACTCTGGAAATTTGGAACTGTTTATTCTATAATTCTTTCATAATATATTTTTGGGTTGTTAGGGTTTCCTAAAGTACATTTAAACTGAGGTATTATCACTGGATGAACATCTGTTACTTGTTCCTGGAAGGAAAAAAAAGGTATCGAATCAAAGGCATGCATATGTTTTTTATGTAGGTATTTCAGTTACAAAAAATAATTTATGCTTCAGATACTTGTGTGAAAGTGAGCTATCTTTTTGTAATGGAATTTTTAATAGGTTTGCAATAGAAGCCTGCCTCTAACAATAAAACCGGAGATGTCGAGAAAGAATTGGTTCAGACAGTAAACAGAAACTGCTCTTAGTGGAATTTAGGAAGTATAAACACCTGTCTGGATTTGACATGGGGAAAAAACTTCAAATTAGTACAGTTAAAAAATGAAAAGCTTAAAATTCTTGAAAATAAAAAGTAATATGTTACATGCGGCAATATTTGTCTTTATAATATAGGTATATAACGCATATGAATATTTAAAGAGAAAAGTAATAAGTGATTTCAGGTAGGTAGGGGGGGGAAAAAAAGTAGTATTTATGGCTATTCAGTCATCATATTTTCCTCAGATGCTGCTTGGGTAGTCACCAAAAACATCTTGTCCTTTTGTCTTGAGAAGTCTGAAAACACTGTGTGTATACACTTCCACAAATACTTGGACGCAAGCAATAGCTCTCACAAAAGCAGCAAACTTGTTCCAACTGTTAGACAGTTTCAATTAATTTGGCTGTATTTATCTCTTGATTTAGGACAAAACATTTGGTCTAAAGAATAAAAAAGGTGCAAAACAACAAAAATTTATCAAGGCTGTGACTCACCAGGTTAAATTTGGTCAGCAAAATCCACGTCAGGTAAGCATTTAATCTGTACTGTTTTCCCACTGCATAATGAAATCATCTTTCACTGTACATATAGATTGTGATATAATATTGAAGTAGAAAAAAGTTGATGTTACTTGCCTAATGTATTGTGACTAGCACAGATTTAACTAGATAGTATTCTTGCAAGGCTTGTCTAGCTGAGAATTATGTACCGAAACCCCTAAAAAACCCTAAACTCAAAATCAACTAACAAGGGTTTGTGTTTATTTATACAGTATTCTAGTAGTAACATAATAGAGTTTAAGGTATACCTGAAAGTAAATTGTAGAAACTGGCTATCAGCAACATGTGGTTCTATATTCTTTCGCTTCTTTTTTTTTTTCCCCCTCTAATTCCCACCTAATCTAAGAAGTAGTGAACCATTAAAACTAAGAGTAGTTGTTACTAATATTAAAATTGGAATTGGGGGAAGATTAAAAAAAAAAAACCAAAACAAAACTAAGCCCATATGTGCTGCTTGTTCTACTTACGGACGTATTTATTTTAATACTTCCATGTTGCATGTTTGGGAATCTGCACATATTTGGTGAAGTGGTCAAAGAAACTGAAATTTTGAGTCACTGTCTACTACTCTGCTCTTCTTTTGTATGATGAGGTAAAATGTGATGTGGTTGAGATATAGTATCTAGATTACACTTGGTCAGAAAGCACAGATTTCATTGAAGTACTTTTATGATGGAAGTGAGCCAGGTCTCTTATTCCTGCGGTTCTCGGGAAGCTAGTTGCAAAGTATTTATGCAGCTTCCTGTTCGATGAATAAGCCTGTAGAATATTACATTTGCATCAGCTAAATTCATGATGTCATAATTAATGTTGAATTCCTTGCATAACATAAGGATGAACTAACAAATGTCAAATACAACTTTAAAGGTAAAGTTGATATTTGGGTCGTTAGATCTAACAAGTTCTTGTAGTGGAAAGGACTGCTTGATGTCACTTCAGAAACATTGGTGTTGCTCAGACAATTCTGAAATTTGTGTATGAAATCCCTGAATCTGTAGCATTTAATGGAATACCAGTATGTAAATTAGACAACCTAAAATAATTTTTCTCAGGTGCTTTTAGCTATTGACTGATGGATGTCAAAAACTAATTTTTAGACCTGATTATGCCTTTCTTAACCTGTAATAATGGGTTTCAGTTATGATTGTCCCTGAGAAAGGAAGAACACTTTAAAGCTATTATTGTTGTGTCCTGAGATACAAAGGGAAACACTGTCAAGGCTTTTTGCTCAGTAAGAAAAAAGCAAGCTTCATCTTCATGCTTTTGGAACCCTAGGGTGAAACAGAAGTGTTCCTACAGTACTGCTTTTTGTAGTTGACATATGTGGGTCTGCCTGCTATATAAAATAGGATTTGTGGACTTTCAGTATCGAAATTGAGTGTTCTGTACATGGACCAAATTAATCAATTGCTTTTTAAAACAATTTGGCATTTTGTTGCCGAATTCACCATACAAAGCAAGCTCCTTTTTTAATACTGCACTGTATTCTACCAGTAAAGTACCCCACATATTTGTATAGTGGTGGTAGTCTCACTAGCTTCCCTGAAGGATAAGAATCAAATCACCTAATGTTTCTCACATGTTCTCTTTCATCCATCTTGTTCCCTCTCTACTACTCTGGTATAGATACCAGCCTTTTCTGGCTTATCCTAAAAGGATAAGGCAGAGTCCCGGAGTTGGTTTTTTTTGTTTGTTTTTTTTTTTTAATACACAAACTTTTATTTTCTTAGGGGAGCTTGTTTTTTCAGTCCTTGGCCCCTAGTTACCTGTAAAATTAATGTTCTTTTCTTATGAACCACTGATTATCAATGAACTGATGTAAATTCAAACAAAAAAAGTGTTCTAAAAGCAGTTCCTAACTTCTACAAACAGATTTCCTAGAAGTGCTACTGGTATACATGAAGAAAAAGAACTAAGCAGCATGTAGAGGACTAAAGATAGAGAAGCTTTTTTGCAGAGATCTTGAAGTAATTGCATTGACTATTTGCACTACTAATGTATCACTGAAAGAGCAACTAACTTTTCCCCTCCTCATTCCCTTCACTTGATTTCCTAGCCTGTAAAGGTAGAATAGAGGTAACTGTGTTATCTTAATGGTGCCTACTCGGATCTCACATTTCTGACAAATTGCATTTGAAATCTCTTCTCCTTGAAAGGTCAGTACCGCTAGATGGCACTGGCTATTCATACAAGGGTAGGAATTCTGAGAAATTCAGAAATCACAGGTTCTTTCCTTCCTCCCCTTATAAAGTAATTTAAAATTATTTGCTACTTCAATGTACAGTGCCTGTGAAGTGAGTAATGTCATTCAAATTATATATTAATAACTTCAAATTTGGGGTCATTATAGGCTGCTCAAACAGAAAGTGAGAAGAAATTAAAAAAAGAAGATAAGAAAAAGGAATTACAAGAATTAAATGAGCTCTTCAAGCCTGTGGTTGCTGCACAGAAAATTAGCAAAGGTATGAGAAACTGAATTATCTTTATTTATGTTCTCTTATTTTACCTGAAGTAGATCTATGAATAACCCTTTAAAAATGACAGCTCATTTTTCAATAAAGCAGATGTCTGTTTCCTTCTCTATCTACTGTACCAAGTAGTTTGTCAGTAATGATTTGACATCTTTTTCGGCAGTTATCTGGGGTTATTAGATCATTAGAATATCAAAAGCTACATTGATAATGACAGGGCAGCTATAGACACTTTGCTGTATTCAGGTTCATTAATTAGGTGCTTCTGGATGAGTGGCATGATTATTTTTTTGTGTGTGATGGTATTTGTTTAAAGCAGCCTGTCTCCCCAGGAAATTGTGAACATCCAGGTATTACAAGGAATATAATATGATAACCGTCGTCTTCACAGAAAACTTGCGTTCGAATCGGAACAATAAAAAATTTCCACTTCTGTCCCACCTCACAGTTGACAGTAGGAGCTGCCTTCGGAAGTGTGATCTTATTTGTACTTGGTTCTTGAACAAACTAGTTTTGTGATGAAATGTAAGTTTAAGCGTATTTGATACTTCAGGGAAACTCTACAATTCGCTACCATGTGGGAGGAAAAAGAAAAATCATACCTTTAGGAATGAACTAATCGACTCTTTGCTTTATTAATCTTCTGGAACTAATGAGATTATGTGCAATAATTTTTGACTAAACAAGTGTGATTTCCATGTATGTCTTTAAAGCAAACCTGGTATTTGTTCACTGTGGCACTTAGCAGCAACAAAGGCCAGTTTTCTCTTTATGGTCTGCAGTGGTGAGCTTTCTCCAAATAAAGTAGCTCTTGCTTAAAGTTATTTCAGAAGACTAATATTTTCCTAATTAAAGCTTTGGTTTTCTATTGAGATTGCCAACAAGGAGAGCTATGTTATCTGAAGTTCTTTTAGGAATCCATTCAGTGTTTAAAAACTAGATTTTTTTTTTTTTAGTTAAGATTTTAAATGGGTGTTGCTGTACATACTGTAGTCACTGGTGACTAGCACTAAGATTAAAATCAGCAAGTGAAAAAAACTGAGCTTGAAATCTTACGTGAGCACTTAATGAGTGTTACAAGTAAAGCATTTCTGATTTAGTTGTGTCTCATAAATACATTTCCACCTGTTTTCATGTTTTCATTTTTTTTCTCACCTAGTTACAATCCCTTTAGTGGTATGATATTTACTTAAACTGCAGTTAGGTTGATTGAGAAGTTTGTACTATAACAACAGTTGCTTATTTTGGAGACTATGAGCAGCCATCTTATTTCTATTATTAAAGAAAGTAGTCTGAATAAGTGCAGGTTAGATTATCAAAATTTATTCTAGTATGGTGTTGATCCATTACGGAAAGGCTGACATCCAGAAGAAGCTTTACTGTGCATGACAGGCAAAAATAGCTTATTGTATAGAGAAGTTGTTCCACAGAGTGGTATCTTGTGTGTATTATATGAATTAATAATTTGCTCAGGCACGCTGCTATCCATATTTATTTAAATAGTCAAGTGCCAGCTTTGATACTTAATGCAAATATCATACTATACAAAGTAAATATGACGCGTTCAGGGCATGGAGTATTTACTTGTGATGAACACATGCATTAAATAACTTTCGTTTTTAAAAACACATCTCTAGAGATCCTAAAGATTGTATGATCCTAGACATTGTTCTCAGAACTTTTAATATACAGCTTTTGCTTAAAAATAGTATTAAAATATAAAAACTTTCTTCATTCAGGTGCTGACCCCAAATCTGTAGTTTGTGCTTTCTTCAAGCAAGGACAATGCACGAAAGGGGACAAGTGCAAGTTTTCTCACGATTTGTCTTTGGAAAGAAAGTGTGAAAAACGAAGTGTCTACATTGATGCAAGAGATGAAGACCTTGAAAAAGGTACAAAAATTCTAGAAAATGAGTACTAAACTATTCTGATTCTGAAACTGGATTTTTAAGATTAAGAGTCATGTTGCATTGTGGTTATGATCCTTAGGAGCTTGGTCAATGACCAAGGCAATCCATACCGCTATGTTAAAAAATACGAACAACAGTGAAACTTGCTTTAAAAAGTGCGCTTACAAGTATTCTTTAGACCTTCTTTAGAAAAAGAAGTGTTGGATGGTGGTTTTTGAATTCTGCTCTGTAACGTATTATGTCGTACAAGTAGCAAGTTATACAGTATTTGGTCTTTCTTATAGTTGCTAGTTTCTTCAAAGTTCTGTAAAACCGAAGTACAAAAGGAGGGAATGTAGTGAGCAACCGTAGTTGCCTTCCAGAACTATTACTAGTGTTTGCCCAAATGTGCACAGTTCTAGAATTCAGGATACTTTGGAATTTTTTGCTGTGACTTTATTTTCTTTCCCCAAATCACTTGTTGCCAAAGTACTCAGTTTTACTTTTACTTAACAGGGGTTAGAGATTTCATAGTCAAAATAATTTCTTTTGGTTTTCCACAACTGATCATGTCTACGTCATTATTTGAATTTTAGCCTGTGTTGTCCTAAATGAAGATGACAGGATCCCATAGATTCACTACTACTGTTACCATTGGTGATCTTCCTTCTTTTGATGGCACCTTCTTTTAACTTTAACACAGAAAATTTGGGATTATCTCTTTTGATCCTCAAGTTACATTATCTGTATTTCTGGACATTAGCCTCCAACCTTCTTTGTTATTCAGTCACCCTCCTTTTCCCTTATCCACGCTCAGTAGCATGCAGATGGAACGGCACATTTTTTTAGTCTTTAACTGAAACATGCACGTCAAAATCGAAATTTCTAAGTATTAAGGCTTTTGAGGAAATTGTCTTTGATCAGCATCGAAGAGTTTGAAAACTTTGTAATAAAAGCCTGAATTTATTTTCCATACTGTAAATGAACTAAAATGTGAGAATTGCATGTTAAAACTTATTAGGGAGAATAGCAATGTGACAGCATTGTTTAGTGTTTGAATATTTTTGCGAAACCATCTTTTGTCTGTTTCTAGATACAATGGATAACTGGGATGAGAAGAAGCTGGAAGAAGTGGTGAACAAGAAGCATGGTGAGGCGGAAAAGAAAAAACCCAAAACCCAAATAGTATGTCCTTTTTTTTTATTGTTCTGTAGTAGAGAGAATTAACTGCAGACTGGTATTAATATGATTATTGTCTAAAGATTTTGAATGGAATATTATAGCAGTATTATGAGTAGTATTTCTAGTAATGTGTTAAAATACAAACAAAAAACACCCCACCCCAAGGCTCTGTCAGTCATTTTCTCATGTAAAATACAAATGGATAGTAGATAAAGTGCTTTCAAAATAGAAATGCTAAAGGAATCTGTAATAGTCTAATGCATCCTATTTGCTTAGAAGATTCAAGTATTGTGATGAGTTAGTTCTGTCCTCTCATTCCAGCAACTGCCATGTATATTGGCTTATTTGTGCACTGGGTGACTATAAGCATGTAAGTTTAAATTTTCTCCTGTAAGCTGAAACTTACTAATGCAGAATCCTTTGTAGTTCCTGACCTCTGACTTCAAGAATGTTCTTTAGTTTGTGCCCTAAATGGTATAGTATCTCAATCCCTCATTCATTCTTCAGAACTATTTCACCTTGTTCTCAGTACCAAATTATTAAATACTCTATTGATACTGCTGAAATTTGGAAAAGTTAAACTTTGATATGGTTAAGTGTGGACTATGAATTACTTGTTGAAAGTTCCAGAAGGGCATCTCTACCTCAAGTTCACGAGCTGGAAGGTTTAACATCTAAGGCAGATTCTATTTATTTTGATTAGAACTATACTGATGCTGATGTTTTATGTGTGCAACTGGGGTTATGGTAGTTGCCAGTCTTCTGAGTCATCCTGTCTTTTTTCAATTGAGATTATATTAAGGGAAAAAAGCTTTTGACTACGTGAGTTTTAGCTAATTCGTTGCACTTCTTTTGTCTGCTTTTTTAGTAGCAAGGCATTTCACGTGTTTCTTCTGGTTTGAGCCCAGCTGGCTTTGAATTACTGTACTTCCAACATGTAGTAGCTATACATGTAGTGTAAATTGCTGGGGATAAATAGAGAACGCAGCGCTAACAACTGTTGTTTTATACAGGTCTGCAAATACTTCCTTGATGCTATTGAAAACAACAAATATGGATGGTTTTGGGTCTGTCCAGGTGGAGGAGACAACTGCATGTATCGTCATGCTCTCCCTCCAGGTTTTGTATTAAAAAAAGACAAGAAGAAGGAAGAAAAGCAAGATGAAATTTCTTTAGAAGATCTAATAGAAAAAGAGGTAAAGTCAGACAGGTACCTTTTGGTGGTATTTGTTTTTGTTACGCTGAAGAGACAGTTGTAAATATTTTCCTAATTAATAATTAAAAAATATAAAATGATTTTATAGCTGTATGAGCTAAGGTATAGTATTTGATTCATGTTTTTGTTTAGAAACTATTACCTAGTGAATAGATTAAACTATATCTGCATACTTAGTGCAGGTGTTGCTAATCCTTTTCTAGGAGGCTTCTATTTCTTACTGCTATTTTTCCTTTATCTCCTACAACTGCTTCTATGGGCCTTTCACATCCTCAGCTCACTGCCTCCATAGTTCTCATATAACTCTGTAATGAGGAAGCAACAGCAAGAGAACGGCGCCTTCTGAAGGCATTACACTGCTGCTCTGCTTATTTCTGTCACCGTTGCCTGGCAGCGTCAATTTGAGGAGAACCTGGGATATTGTTGTTGGTTTCTTTCTTCCTCTGCTTTTCATGTTAACTTCCGTGTCGACTCATCTTAGTAACTGGAAAATCGTGTGTTGAGTCAAACTTTAAGTTGATGGTGCATGTTTAATAATGGTGAGAGTGAAGACGGAATTGGAGAGAAATGTTTTCAACTAGTTTCTGGGAAAGCGTAATTACATCTCTAACTTGTTATAGCCTTTGGAAACAATTTCTGTCATTAATCAGGCTCTTTGCTTGACAGCGTGCTGCCTTAGGACCAAATGTTACCAAAATTACTCTAGAGTGTTTTATTGCGTGGAAGAGAAGAAAAAGACAAGAAAAAATTGATAAGGCTGAGCAAGATATGGAGAGGAGGAAAGCAGATTTTAAAGCTGGCAAAGCATTGGTGGTATGTTCTACACTCCAATTCTTAATGTAAGAAGAAACAGTCAATAAGTTTTTGAAATAAGGTAGCTGGCCTGGAATTGCTTTTTCTTTTTTCTTTTCTCTTTTTTCTTTTTTTTTTTTTTTACAGCAGTATAAATTCTGTCAAGTGATAAATTAAGATTTCTTTTTATGTGAATAGATTAGTGGACGTGAAGTATTTGAGTTTCGACCAGAGTTGGTTGATGCAGATGATGAAGAAGCAGATGACACCCATTATATTCAAGGAACGGGAGAAGATGATGAGGTAAAGAACAGTATTAACTCGGATAATATTTTGAGTTACATTCAGGTTTGAAAACTTTTAATTTGAGAGATCTTATAGTGCAATTAACAAGCTTGGTTCTTAATTTAACACCACCACAAAGTATATCTTGTCAAAATTCTGGTGTCAAAAGGAAAATTTAAAAAATTGTAGGAATCCAGCAGAAATTCTAATTCCTGTAAAAAGTAATTCATGCAGAGCATCTTGGTTTATTTTTCAGATGGAAGATCCTGTGTGCATAAATGATGTAGATTTGAACCTCTATGTCCCAAAGGCTGTAGATGAGACTGGTATTACTGTGGCTAGTCCTGAGCGATTCAGCACATACAGTTCAATAGAAAAAGATGGTAAGTTCATTATTTAGGTACCATTAATACGGCTTTGAATTGTTAAGAGCTTCCCAAAAGGTAGATAGAAATGAATTATTGATCTGCTGGAAAGAAGTATTTGTTTAAAAAGGGTGGGGGAGTGAAATTACCGTCAATGATATGTGTAGTTACTAAAGAAAAAGCTTTTAGTAAATGCTATGCGCTTAATTTCTTAAATTCAAGTTTAAATAAAAGGTACCGTTTATGGACACTTCAGGTAAATCCTTAAGATATGTCTTCGCAGTTTCCCTTTTCTTCAGATTTAATAAATGACTGACTGAATAATATCAACAAAAAGCCAAGCTTTTCTTCATATTTGCTAGATATGTTAAGTTAGCTCATAATTTCTTAGAGCAAAGTCTTGATCTTGGTGTGCTTGTGAAAAGCATAACCTAATATTTGAGATCCTGAGTCTTCTAAGTGCAGACATTGAGTAGGAGTAGCTAATAAAGTTTGACCCAGTTATGAAAACAGGAGTTTGAGGTTTTTTCAGTCTGTTTTAAGTGATGATCCAAACCTTCATATTAATCAGGTACATGCAATTTAACCAATATAAGTCAACATAAATTTCACATAAAGTAACTTCTTTATAGTTTCAAAACTTTAAAGCCTGTTTAGTGGGATTGTGAATTAGTGACTTGTGACACTGAAACGTGTAAGAATTATTTTTCTTTTCAGATAATAAATTAAGTGAAGCTTCTGGTGGTGATATAAACAGCAGTGAGCAAAATGATTTAGAGGAAGATAATGATGGAGATGGGGAGTTGGAAAATGGAGTAATTGATGCAGTTCCAGTTGATGAAAATCTTTTTACTGGAGAGGACTTGGATGAACTAGAAGAAGAACTAAACACTCTTGATTTAGAAGAATGAATTAAAAAGCTCAAGTGAGGAATTAAATCGATGTGACAAAGTGAAAACTGACTACACTTTTTCTCCTTTTTGAATAGAGTTCTTAAACAGGATGTTTATGGTTACCCAGCTGATTCTGACGGGCACATCATAGGAATATTTTTCCTTCAATCTCATCTACTCCAATCTCGACTATGCTCACAGTAAAATATTCAGAGTAGGTCAGAATTACCTGACAGATGAATTTGCAGAAAATGAGATTGTAACTTTCAACTAAAAGTAGGAAGTGTAACTGCTTTGCCAGTATGCAAGTAAAGTGGGCAATTTGATACCAGGTACAGTATAAAAAAATCAAAGTATACATTCTTCACCAGAACTGCATTTTTATTAGTGATTGTGTTGATTTAGAAACTGCCTGAAGTGTTTTTAGGCAGTATACTCTAATGGAGCTGATGCAGATTATGCTTCTTTAAGTGGTGGTTAGCTTTATTTGATCAGCTGGATACTGAAGATACAGATTGTGAACTGATACGTCATACAGTACAATATGGTGCCCTATGTTTAAAATGTTTTAAACTTTCCCACCTCCTTTTGCCAACAAAACTGTAAATAAAAACTATCAACTTTAAAATATCTGTGTTGATTTTTCTCTGTTAAGTTAGGATATCATACCAAACCATTAATAACCTCACTTTCTAATACAGTGATAAACATTTTTCTCTCCAGTCCCGATACAGAAGTGATGATGTTGGCTTCAGTTAAATTAGGGCTAACTGCAATCACAATTTTTTGTCTACACTTCATGCAGCGTAAAATCCAGCAGCTGACATTTTTCCCTACTGTTCTTACCTCCTCCCCATCCGTTAACTGATTTAATACATGCTGTACATCACTCATGGCTGCGACGACTTCAAGCTCTGCAGAGCAGGGACGTTGCAGTCTAAAAAATGTCTGTCATATCTTTGGTGTTCTATAAATAACAAAGTTTTGCAGGAGTAAGTTGCCTCAAAGCGGAGCAGTATTGTACCCTGCATTGTGTACCCTGCAGGGGGCACTTACTGTCAGGCTTAAATGAAGTCAACCTGTCCTTTTAAAATTTGTTGAATCCCTGCCATAAAGATTTCTCAGTAGCGGTGCTTTTTCAAGGGGGCTGTAGGTTATGCCTCCTTGCCATACTTCTTAGAGTATCTGCAGCAGTGTTGCTGGACTAATTATACTTTTTGTATTGATTTTTCTAAAGCTTCTAAATTACTACTTAAAGACCATTAAGATAAGTGAGCTTTCTCAAACTGCTTTTGGGTGGTCATTTTAGCTTTAATAGTTAGTTCTGACACTGCTAAATTGACTCTTGTATCTTGAATGCTATTTCTAAAATAGCTGACTTGGACATTGTTTTGCCCTTTTTGGGATCTTTGGGATTTGTTTTCTCCTATAGGAACAAGAAGCAGTGTTTGGGAGAAAGAGGCCTACTGAAATTGACTTCTAAATGTAAGTGTTTAAGGAAAAGCTGCAATATTAGATATAAATATTTATTTATGGAAATTTTTCTCCTATGGCCATAAATAAACAGTGTTGACAGATTATTGTATTGTACTGGCCAGCAATAGGATACCTGGATATCAGGACACTCAAGAATGCAATTCATATTTGAATGTATGATGCATAATTTTTCACAGTTGTATATTTTAAATCAGAATAAAAGTAATTTAATCATTATCAAGGATGAAAATGGCTTTCTATATTTTGTCTTAGAGGCTGGTATATTGTATATAATACTGATCTGATTCACTGATCTAAGTAGGTTAAATCTTTCCCACAATTATGTCAGTGTTGTTTATTTGCATTTTACAGTGAAGGAATGATGGGTAACTCATACTAATTTCACGTGATAAACCGCTGAGATGGGCAGAGGGAGAGTGTGTGTGCTCTCTTGTGGGTCTGAAGGGCTTAGTGTGATGTATAACTCCTTTGTGCATGCATCATTTAAACATTAGGACAGTCGCCTTGCTTAGTATTTAAATATGTTGTATATCTGTAAGTTGAAGAAAAACTTATTTTCATAGGCAGTAGTCACTGACACATTACTTCACGTGGTCAGGAAACAATAGTTTTCTGTCCCTTTCTGGGTTTTCATTCTTTCCTCTCAACTTATTGTGGCACTTCTTACTAGACTTGTTCTAGCCTCTTGGCTTGGTTGGTCTGTCGAGCTTTCCAACCATGAAAGCAGGGTGACTGCTTTTAAGGAAGTGTTTTAGTGTAGTGTTCAGGCGTGCTTTTAAGGATTAGTAGCAATATGCTGCTTCCTGTTCCTTCCGCTTGAAGTTAGGCTTGTGTAGAACCTGTTAAAAGTTCTCAATCTTGGGAGTTAAAGAAGCCAAAATTTGCAGCTGACAGGGAGCTTCAGTCAATAAATGCTCAATTAAAAATGAATGCAAAGGCCTTACTTATGGTAGATTAATTATTCATATTTTGGAAATGGGCACTGTGATAGAATGGAGTCCACCTGAATGTGACTTACCACTGAGTTGTTCCTATTGATGCAAGTTTCCCGAAATCAATCTGATGTAAAGTGAATGAGTCACTTACAGAAAAATGAGATGCAATCTGAATCCTAAAATAGCAGTTTCCTCACTCCAGTGACTGTCCAGTTGTATGGGTCAAAAATACAGTATTTCACTGTTAAAGGAGTAGGAAGGCTCAGTCCGAGACACTTACTGGATTGAGGTCAGGCTGTGAAGGATCATAAGCCAGGGAAGAAAAACCTCTGCAATAAACTTTATTCCCATCCCTTGCAGCCTGCACCACTGTTTGCATCATCTTGTTTTTCTCCTAACTTAAATGAGTACCATATGAGAAGTGTAGCGTAGCTATGGATTTAACATTTCTTGAGGAAATATGCTAGTGTACCGCTCTGCCTTCACAGCACCTTTATTACTGGACACTGGTGTAGACCAAATCAATTTAAAAAATTATGCAGAAATCCAATGCCTTTCCTTCCTGGTGTTTGCTATTGTAGGAGTAGAGTATCTGTTTGCTTTAAATTTTAATGTATGTTAAAATCCCATTTCTGTCACACAGAAAATCTGCTTGAACTGCTTCAACTGGCTAGCTTTAAATTCTCCTGGGATTTTTTTTTTTTTTGAGACCTGTGATTGAATTTTATGCTCAGCACGGCCTTGTTACTCAGAGCTCCCTGCCTGTTTTTATAATAAACACTGCTGATAAAGGCCTGGGAAAAAACTTGGAGAAAAATTAAATGTAAAGACTGACCTTAAATATTAGGCTTAGTTGTTTGTAATGGAAATGTTGCCATTTCTTAATGGACAATGCTCCCCAACTGCTTTTTATCAAGGGGCGTTGGATGAAGCAGTGGTACTTTCCTTGGCAATTCAGTATTGTCATGATAGATTGTGTGTTTATTTAGCAAACAGATTGTACAGAAAGAACCTACACATTGAAATTAGTATATTTTTATGAATATTTTCTTTCAGTTCTTTCATCAGATGTGTGGAATAACAAATGTCCAAAATGTATCTCAGACGTTCTGAATGCCAATTTCTACTTATTTTGCAATGTTTATGCCCCTTTTTAAAAATTAACTGAATATAATAAGCAATGCAGGCTTAAATATTTTGTAAGCTTATATATCTTGCAAATAACATACTTGGAAGTTTCATAAATAGTGTTTTGTTATTCTTGTTCCATGTGCTGCTTTTGAATAACTTAATGAAACCATAGGGTGATTACGTGACTGGACGAAAAATCTTTCAAAGTTAGATCTGTTTCCCTCGGAGTGAAATTATTACAGCACTAAACTGAGACAATGAGATTGCCCTCATACGCAAATATCTCTCATACATATTCACCTGAAGTATTTCAGGAGAAATACTCCCTGAATAACATCAATAAAAATAGGAAGAAAATTGGAAAAATGAGACCTGGGCAGACCAGAGGAACAGCAAAAAAAGAAAGTAACAGCAGCTGCACTGCATCAGACTGAGAGACCATTTATCACACTCCAAAAACCAGAAACATGGGGAAGGAAAGAGGTAAGAAAAGGACAAATCCATGTACTTCTCAGGAGTGCTTGTCATAGGTAGCTTCCAACTCTTTCTAATCTAGAAGATTTCTTCTACTAGATGTAGCCTGTGATGGCTTTCTCTTACAAGTATGTTCCCTGTTTCTCCTGTGAATCGCTGTATGTTCTTAGCATGTTTTGGGAACCCAACAATTCATCAGCTCTGCTCCATCTTGTTTTGCGCATGACTTCTACTAACTTGTGTTATTAGATGTCTAGGGAAAAATACTTAGAGGAAGTGATATCCTGTGCCTTCCTGTGCTTTGAGCTGATGCCAAGTAGAGAAAGCACATATAAAAAAAGGAATTGATGGTTTCAGTTGTGAAGATGTCCTGGTTCGTGTGGGGATAAGGTTAATGTTCCCAAGGATCTCACGGGACACAGGTTTTTCCATACTTTGTGACACTGTGTCCAGTTTACAGGGGGAGCTGTCTGGGTGAGGGGGCTGGGAAGTCGCTGCTTGGAGTAGGCTGAGGCTTCCTGGGTCTGATGGGTAAATGGTGGTACTGTAATTGCATTTGTACATTCTTCTATTGGTGTTATTGTTGTTTTTCTCTTTCCTTTGCTCTTCTGTTAAACTGCCTTTATCTCAACCCACGAGTTCTGCCTTTTTCTTCCGATTCTTCCCCACAGCTGTGGGGGTTTGAGCCAGCGGCCACGTGGTTCTTTGTTGCTGGCTGAAGCCAAACCTTGACAGAAGAACCCAATCTCCTGATGTATTTGAGGGCTGGTAACAGTTTTCTACAAAATTAGCAACTATTCCCCCTTAAGGTGCTCGGTTCTTTGCTACGAATGGGCCTTAATCAGCAAAATCTTTAATAAAGCAAATTATCTTTGTTCCTGGTTATGTACTGGATGTATTTTATGTAGCTATGATCACATTAAGCGCTTTTACAGTGATATCGGCAAATCGCTCTTCACTCTTATTTTCCCCTTGTGCTAGTACTAGAGACTTAGAAGTGAACATGGCTTAGTCTGTTGCTTTTAGTTCTTTCATTTCAATAGATGCTCTGTCTTTTTACAGAGAGTGGCTGTTGCTGCTATTAGCCGTAAGACCAAGATGTTTTATTCATTTATGATGTTATAGCCCTAATACGTGACCACACTAGGCTCCTTCATAGCACATTATTGAAATGAATGGGAAAAATAATCAGTTCTTTCGATCATAAAATAGCGTTTCATTATGTTTAGTGAAAGAGACCTCTGAGGTAATCTCTTTATGTTGCATTTGTGACTGAAAATTGTTCCAGAGTGTAAAACGTTTGGATGTAAATTTGAGCAAGGTTGGCTTAAAACTAGAGATGTTACCAAAATACACCCAATCAGAATTCAAAAATGAGATGGACCTCTAAATTTAAGCAAGATACAATGGAAAACAAAGCATCACAGCTTTCCCTTAAAAAAAAAAAAAAAAAGACAAATGATGCCTAAATTGCTATATAAAATATATGAAAAGAAGTAGAAGCATTCCTGAAGGGAAGAGAGGAGCAAATTACTACAGAAGGTTCACAAGGCAAAAAGATACTCCTTGTACAGTCAGCCGTTAGGGAAATGTGTTCTACGGATGCTGCATCCTTGGACCTGTGCTGGAATGAAACTGTCTTGTCAGCATATAATATGGGTGTAGCGCATCTTTTGTAGTCACAGAAAATCAGCTAAAACCTTACATTTCTCAGGCCTCTCGTAAATTTTAACAGGCTTGCTATTCTAGGAGACCTCTTGTCCTATTCATGTTTCA